CTTCCCGCATCCTCATGCTTTTTCAACTCTCTAGTAAAACTCTCAAAGGTTTTCTTTACATTTTGTTACCAGCTGTTCTCCGTATACTGACCTGGATCTGTTCTTAGCTTCTTTTACTACCCTTGATGTATAGCGGCGGTCCTTTCTGTATAGGATGTAATCTTCCTCTGTCTTTGATTTTCTACCACTTTTTAAATGCCCTTTTCTTCAGTTGGACGGCTTCCTTCACTTGGTCATTCCACCATAGAGTTGTTTTCTTTTTCTGCCCTCTTGTTTTCCTGGTGCCGAACTCTTCTTTCAATGCTCTGTACACACATGCTTTGAAGTGGCTCCATTCCTCTTCCATGTCTCCCAATTTTGGGGGAAATTTGTGAAATAAATCTTTCAAACGTTCATGTATCTTATCCTTGTTATTGTCATTTATATTTCTGAGATTTACGACTTCTCATCGTTCCTTTGCTTCTGGCCTTTTCCTGTTTGGTGTGTCAAAAGTCGTGATGACTGGTCTGTGGTCAGTGTCTGTGATGTAGATGGGAATCACTCTTGAGTCTCTGTTTTTCTCAGTTTCGATCTTTTGGCTAGGATAAAATCAATTTGTGATGCTATCTTTAGATCACTGCATTTGTATCAAGTTTTAACTTGACTCCTTTTGTGTTGGAAGAAGGTATTTGATATGACGAGCTCATGTTCTGCACACAACTATAATAGCATTTCTCCATTGCTGTTTTGATCTTTTTCCCTGTCACTGTGAGGCCGCATGTATGTCTTCCACGTCATCTTCCTTGTTTCCACTCTGCCGTTAAAGTCCCCATCATTGTCACATTATCTTTGTCATCCACGATGTTTAAAAATTCACTCAGTTGATCATAGAACTGGTGTCGCTGTTCTTCGGGATATGAGCCATATATATATATATATATGTATTTGATGATCCTCAGTAATTGTCATATGCTATGGTGATTTCGCTATTTTTTCATATTCTTCAAGTCTGCGTTAGGCTTGGGTTTAACGGCACTTGCAACACAAATAGGTCTTATAAGCCCCGAAGATTAGAGGTGTTACAAGAGAGTAACATACACAGAAAAGAACGAGGAGAGATAAGGACGGTTGATTGTTAATAAGGAAAAATTGAACAAACCACACCCAAGAGCACCCGCCAACCTCCTGCTTGAGTTATGCATGTAAGATTGAAACTGCTTTCAATTTTAATAATTTTCCCCTATAGCAAGTTACAGAACTCTTTAAAACAAAATGAGTGATGTTTTTCTTTTGAAAATCGGACCATTATTATGGAAAGTGTGCCCGTATCTTTTTTGGGATAATAGGCATAGGACTCCCGACGTCACGATTATGACGTAAATTAAACGGTAAATAGAATGTTACTCTTAATGTACTTGACTTTTATTTTTATATATTGATTCTACATAAAACAGCAAACAAAATGATAGCTCAATGGTCACGATACAACTATTATTAAGGATTTTATGACTTTGTGAAGCAAAATTTCGAGTTTTGGTGGCACAAAATGCAGGGCAAAAATTTGGCCAAATCAGGGCGAAAATTGCTTCACAAAAACGGTCGCTGCTTCTAAACTAACAAAGATAGCGCAAAAAATTAAAAAGCTCAGAAAACAGAAAGCCAAGCTCTTTTCAATAATCCAAATTTTAATGCCCTCGGAGAAGTTTGAAAATTTCACTGAAGTGCCTATATAAATACTTCAGAATTTCTGTAAATAGTTTGCATTCAACAACTTTCTTTTCTGGATATATAAATAATTCAGAAATTCTGTTGCTTTGCGTTCCACAAGTTTTATTTCTGATTATATAAATTATTCCGAAATTCTGTAGATAGTTTGGATTCCACAACTTTTATTTCTGGATATATACCAAAAAAAAGAGAAATCCACCAGATAGTTTGTATTGCACAACTTTTATTTCAGGATATATTAAAAAATTAAGTTCAGAAATTCTGTAGATAGTTGGCATTCCACTAGAGTTTTTTTCTGGATATATAAGTAATTTAGAGATTGTGTTGATAGTTTTGCATTCCACAACTTTTATTTCTGGATTTAAAAATAATTAGTAAATTCTGTAGATAGTTTACATAACAGAACTCTTTTTTTCTGGATATATATATTATATAAATAATTTTGAACTTCTATAAGGAGTTTACATTCCTCAACTTTATATTTCTGGATCTATAAATACTTCAAAAATTCTGTAAACAGTTTGCATTTAACAACTTTTATTTCTGGATATATAAATGATTAAGAAATTCCTTAGATAGTTGGCATTCCACAAGTGGTTTTTTTCTGGATATATAAATATCTGCAAAATTCAGTAGATTATTTGCTGTCTGCAACTTTTATTTCTGGATATATAAATAACTGGTAAATTCTGTAGATAGTGTGCACTCGATCAACTACTTTTATTTCTGGATATATAAATAATTCAGAAATGTTGTAGATAGTTTACATTCCACAACTTTTACATCTAGATATACAAATAATTTAGAAATTCCGTAAAGAGTTAACATCCCACAACTTTTATTTCTGGATATTTACAAAATTCAGAAGTTCTGTTGATAGTTTGTGTTCCACAAGTTTTTGTTCTTCATATAAAATTAATTCAGAAATTCTATAGATAGTTTGCATTCCACTACTTTTATTTCTGAATATATAAAAACTTCAGAAATTCTGTAAATAGTTTGCATTTAACAACTTTTATTTCTGGATATATAAATACTTCAGAAATTCTTTAGACAGTTTGCATTTGACAAGGTTTTTTTTCTGGATGTATAAATAATTCAGAAATTCTGAATTTTTGCATTCCACAACTTTTATTTCTGTATGTATAAATAAATCAGAAATTCTGTAAATAGTTAACATCCCACAACTTTTATTTCTGGATGTGATAAGAATTCAGAAATTCTGTAGATAGTTTGCAACTTTTATTTCTGGATGTGATAAGAATTCAGAAATTCTGTAGATAGTTTGCAACTTTTATTTCTGGATATATAACACACCTATCCTGTTGTTTTGATTATGTGAAAGAAAGGAAGTGGAGAGGGAGAGAGA